TAAGCCTCATCAAGTAGGACCTTGCCCTACTTACACTGTTTCCTAGCAGACCCAGGAAATAAGACATTTTTTAGATGTATTGAATTCCTTCTGCATCACAGGGACAGGAAAAGGACTGCAGAGTTATTGGGTGAAATGTAAGGGCAGCTCGGTAAGCATCCTTCAGGATGAGAGGTGTTCTCTAAAAAGCTGAGTTTGAAATTGGCACATGAATTGATGAAAATAGGTGTGTGCTTGGGGAAGAAGCCAAAAGTCATCTTTGGGATCCTTTTCTGCGTGGGTCTGAGCTCCTGAACAGGCCACAGTCTGCCACCGACCTGGTTGTCTGGGGCTGGCAGCCGGACTGGGGAGATGGTTAGACCCCAGGCTGGGGGGAGGGGTGTGCAGGGGGGAGGGGGGCTGGAGCAGCACCTTTGCTGGAAGAGTCAGGGGTCTGCTTGGGTGTCGCCTTTGGCAGCGTTTCAGAGCAGGACCCTCCCACCCAAGCTCTTCTGTGCACAAATGTCCATTAAGTGCTACAACTCAGCAACACTGCTGTTTTTAAACAGCATACAAACGTGACTAGAAACATCCTGAGAATGTTTGTTTTCACCCTTCCTTTAACGTTCCTGTTTCTAGGGTGGAGAAGAGGGTGTTAGGGAGAGTTGAGGCGGATGCTCGTGGACGAAGAGAATCTATAAGCCTCAGCTCAGGAGCCCTGAGGAGGGCTCATTCAGAGCTGAAGGCCTAGACACGAGGGCAGGAGAGCCGAGCCGAGCAGCTTGTTCAGAAGGCACTGAGGAAAGACAGGATCTTGTGAACAGGACGCGTTTCGGACGCAGCTTATGAAACCCTCAGTACCTCCTGTGATAAGTCAAACAGTTGAAGGGCTCTGTTCCTCCAGTGCAGGAGGTTGATGGCATCTGAAAATTCACGGCTATCTCGTAACGTTCAGTCCTGTGAATCCCGACCATGTAGGGGCTTTCACACTCGGGGAAGGAGAGGGGAAGAGGAAGCTTGTTCCAACCTCCCCCCGCCTCGTCCTGACCTTTTTCAGAAAAGCCCTCCTAGGAGAGTTAGAAGGAACAAGGCATTTGCTGGAGGTTCCAAACGGCACTGCCCCTTGTTGAGAACCATTGCTGAGAACGAGAAGAGGCATTTCCAAGTGCTGCTTCCACATCTCAGACTCCTCTGTCTCTGGCTGCAGGATTCCCGTGAACTCACATGTGTTGATTCTTTCCATTAACCGCCTTCAATGTCATGTCTAGGCTTCCCCATCCCAATGTTAAGTAAATATTTACCTATGTTCTAATTTTCTTCAGGTTTCAATTTTTACGTTTAAATCTTTAACTTGGTGTGAGGTAGGGATCTCACTGTTTTCTTCCTTCCAGATAGTTAGCAGCTAGCACGTTGTCCCAGCATCATTTATTGAGTAAGTCAGATTTCCCCACTGATGTGATCACCTCCCTTCAAAATACTACTTTCAGACACCAGCACTCCCCGACGGCGTCCTGGTCGGGCCTCAGCCGCTCTGAATTTGGGCCGTGTTCTTGGCAAACTTGCACTGTGGCCTCCTGCACAGTGGTCCTCTGGCCCACCGACGGCTCGGTTTCAGTGGTGTTGCTATCTTTTTCCATAGAGCAGATTGTGTGGTTATTTAAGCTCTGTATTTTGCTCACATTTGATAAAAATCAATGGAGAAAGGGTGTTGGTACTTGCGATAAGAAACTGGCCGGGTAAATATCATGCAAGATAGAAATCATCTGGTCTCAGAAAAGGGGCAAAGCATTTCTCCTCAACCAGCTGCTTTTGCACTTAAGCTGGCTGGCTGAGGGTTTGAGTGCGAAGGAGAAAACATAGACACAGTTGTGGAGATAAGTTATCTAAGGTCATCTAAGTAAGAGAGGGAATCCCTGCTCTGAAATGCTGCCAGGGGGACCATAAAGACAATGAGAAGCCTCACTCCAAGCAAAGCTGGGCTGAGAGCATCGCTGCTGAGCTGCCTTCACCCCTGTGTGTGCCGTGTCCAGCCACGAGCTGTGCTCAGACACCATCCTGCCACTGACAAAACCAAGTACAGTGCAGAAGGGAAAGCACACCCTGCTCAGTGACTTCTCAGCCCAGCTCCACAGGTAGGCGCCAGCTCTCCTCTCTCCACTGCTGTTGACAAGCCAACGCCATGGTTGGCCTCTTTGCATCACTTCTCTTTCCCCCTTTCCCTGTCACCACCCCTGCCCTGGGCCCAGGACACCCCATCTGCGCCGAGCAGGGGCCTCGTAGGCAGTCTCCCCACGTCCACCCCGGCCTCCATCCTGTTCCCTCTTCCCACTGTGGCCAGGGGGCCTCCCAGATGGAGGGTCTGAGCATGTCAGCACCCTTTCAGCACCCCCTATTGTTAGTCGGTGACCACAGTCTTTAATATGGTCCAGCTCAGCTTCCACCGTGGGCCCCTCACCCCGGCTGCCACCGGTCCCCTCCCCTCATCCCGCTCCTTCCCAGCTGGGAACCGCCTGGAATGCCTCCACCAGTCGCGGGTTGATCCCCCGTCCTTAGATGGCAGGGGACCCTCTCCTGCCTGCGCAGACCAGGCCTTGCCCCCACTGTGCGCTCGTGATGCTGCACGTGCAGCGAGAGCCTCCTGCTTCCGTAGCATCGGCTGCAGCTGATGGTCTGATGTGTGTTTGTTGATGAGCATCTGTTTCCCTCCCTGAATGGGAGCTCCGCATGTGCAGGACCCCGTCCATCATCACTCAGCATCTTCCTCGTGACGGGCACGCGGGGGCATGCAGTAAATATCTGTTGGGCGTTGTCCTTGTTGACCCTCTGGGCCACCTAACCTGACAGATGAGCTTTCATACAGAATTCTTTTATATTTTAAGATAGATAATATTGGTCCAGAATGGTTTAATTTTGTATTTTCATTTATAGAACGTGGTCTCTTGCCTTTAGAGTGGTCTTTTCCCGTGTCTCCGTCGGGCCCAGAATCTCCAGAATTGCATGGACTACAAAGCTTAGAAAATGAGAAGGTGGTCAGGGCACATTTTTTATTTCATCATGTGCCTTGTAGCATTGCCTACCCTGCCCTCCCAGCACGTGTACTCACCACATTTTAGTGAATTATATTTTTTAAAAAGATGGTTCTCAATATACATTTATTGATTTGTTTTTTATGTATTATTTTAATTTGAAAAGCACACCACGATGGTATACAGTTTTTGGAGGAAAGGAAAAAATGATCTCTGACACTGCTTCTTAAACTCAACCACTGTTACAATTTTAGTGATTACCTTTTGATCTTTTATATGCCTTTTAACGTTGCCACAATCACAGGTACATAAATTTTATGTCCTGCTTTTTTCCCTCTAAATAACCTTAATGTTGATTGATCATTATGTTGTGTATGACGTGGTGTATGAGCCTGTTTTATTCAGTTCAGTTAGCATTTATGGGCACCATTCCCGATGCCTAGAACCACTCAAAGGAACTACACAGATGTGGTACTTTGACTATGTAATAATAGAACACCACCGTTCTGAGGCTTTTAGTGACATTTTTACTTCACATATGTATTAATTCTGTGATGTCACATCTTCATCCCAGGAGGAAGCCTATGCAAGAGTTATTTCATTTGTTTAATAGCTTCTTTCTTCACTTATTCAACAACTTGATTAGGGCTTACCCCGTGCCAGGCGCTAGTCTGTGTGCTGGAGACACAGCAAAGTCCTTGCATCCTGTGAGGGGCCGGACAGGAGTGAGTGAGTGAATGAATGAATGAGGTGGTCAGTAGAAAAGACAAAAGGTCAGGTGAGAGGGAGGGATAATGGCATGGGGGGTGCTCTTCGACAGGGTCAGGGAGGGCTGCTCTGGTGACATCTGGGCAGAGAGGGACTTGGAGCAGGTGATGAGCTGTGCAGCCATCAGACAGGCTGTTTCTGGCAGAGGGACCAGAAGGTACAAAGGCCCTGAGGTGAGCGAGCCAGTGAGGGGAGGGGGTGGGCAGGAGCTGAGGTCAGTGAGCCCGGGCGGGGTTGGGGGGGAGGCCCGAGGAGGTCAGGCGGGGAGCCCGAGGAGATCTGGTGGGGGGCCCCGAGGAGATCTGGGAGGGCCTCCCAGGCCATGGTCAGGCCTCTGACTGTTCCCCGAGCGAGGTGGGAAACAGGGCGTAGTGACCTGATCTGCTTCTTGCTCTGGCAGGGTCGCTTCGCTCCAGCTTCCCTGTCCCCCGGGAGCCCCTTCAGTTCCCACCCTGTCACCTTTTGAAGGAGTCGCTTCGTGTCTGACCCAGGCCTGCCGAGCTCAGGGTGTGCAAATGGTCAGGTAGACAGTTGCCACACCCCACGGTGTCACAGCCACATCGAGTCATCCTGCTCCAAGAAATTAGGCGCGGTCCACGTATTTGAAAAACTCGGTAACTCTGAATTTCTCATTCCCTTGTCTTTTGCTCCTCCAAGACAATTTTTTCTTTCTAAAATAAAGACCACATATATTTTTCAAATTGCATAAAAATGTATCCTATTAAGACTTCCTATCTGTGATCATAAAGCAGCTTCACCCTGTGACGTTCTAGAATCAGCTTTTCTGGGGGTGTGCTGGGCAGTTAGCCTGATTATAATCTTCCTTGCATTGCTTTATGGTCAGATCTGCCACATGCCAGCGTGAGATCCTATCAGCAGTTTCCAAACATTTCTTTCTGAAAGAACAAACTGTTGTCACCTGTTCCTCAGGGTAATTGATCTCTTTTGTCTTCTTCCTGTTACAGAGGGAGACCTCACAGCTTCCCCAGACTGGGAAGGAAAATATGGAATGTGTTTTACCGCTGACTGAACACAACCCAATGAACTGTCCTGACAGTAGTTTGAAAACCAGCAGTTAGCAGTTTGTGCAGCTCCAGCATCATCCGGCACTTTCCAGAGCAGACTCATTGTTTACGAGAACTCTCGGCCTGACGACGTTTGAACCTCAAGCTCGGTGGCTTTCAAATACTTCTGCAGAAGAAAAGTACCCAGAACCCCCTTTCCAAAATGGCCACAGATGAGTATCTGTGGATGGTCATCTTGGGTTTTTTCATAGCTTTTATCTTGGCATTTTCCGTGGGTGCCAATGATGTTGCCAATTCGTTTGGTACCGCCGTGGGCTCGGGCGTGGTGACCCTGAGGCAGGCCTGCATCCTGGCTTCAATCTTTGAAACCACTGGTTCGGTGTTACTGGGGGCCAAAGTCGGAGAGACCATCCGGAAAGGCATCATTGACGTGAACCTGTACAACCACACTGTGGAGACGCTCATGGCCGGGGAGGTCAGTGCCATGGTCGGTAAGTAGCCTCGTCTTTCCACCTGTGGGAATGTGTCCACTGACCCATTTCTCATTTGTCATATCCATAAATGAGATTTTTGTTTTAACTTTTCAAAAACTGGTTTGATGGTTCTTTTTTTTTTTTTTATTATTGAAGCCCAGTTGATTTACGATGTTGTGTTAGTTTCAGGTGTACAGCAAAGTGATTCAGCCATATATATATGTATGTATACTTTTTCAGATTTCCCATTTACTATACCTTATTTGTGCTTTCTGTGTTTTAATTCAGTTATGATTTTGGTCAGTGTTCAAATATCAAGCAACCATTTCTTTCCTTGAATGTATGGCAGACTTGCTTGTCCAAATAGATTTTGGTTAAGTCAGTGCTTTTCATAAAGTCCAGAAAAAGATATTTGTAGCATAGCTCTTTGTCATTTTCAAGCTGTTTGAAAGTTATTAAAGAAAGAACACGTCTAAGTGGATGTGTTTGAGAGGTTTACTTAGGTTTATTTATGAACCTTGAAGGTTCACTTCTATTTTTTCATAGACTTTTCATCAGTTAGGAAGTAATGTTTTGAAAACTTGGTTGCCCCAAAACACTATTTATTAGCTTAACTTCTGTATTCTCCATTGAAGTTTTAAAGCAGTTACCAGTTGACTCTTAAGTGACTGTGTTTTCAAGAAATTCTGGTCTTCTCTGTCATTTGTCTTCCTTTTGTTAGTGTTTGTTTGGATTTTCTGATTCCACCCCTGGGGGCTCCATCTAGTATGCTTGTTTTCTTGTTTGTTTTTTGTTTGTTTGTTTGTTTTTGTGGTACGCGGGCCTCTCACTGTTGTGGAGCACAGGCTCCGACGCACAGGCTCAGCGGCCATGGCTCACGGGCCCAGCCGCTCCGCGGCATGTGGGATCTTCCCGGACCGGGGCACGAACCCGTGTCCCCTGCATCGGCAGGTGGACTCTCAACCACTGCGCCACCAGGGAAGCCCCCCACTGCGCCATCAGGGAAGCCCTAGTACACTTGTTTTGTTTTCCACCGGAAGATCACTTGTATGTCACCTGTTTGCAGTAGGACCTTTTATTGGTGGTGTCGGGCGTGTGGTTCCTCCCCTGCCCGAGGCGACTCCACACTGGCAGCACCGTGGGCGCTGCCCTCGCTGAGCTGGAAGATTCGGGCAGCAGGACCTTAGGTGCAGCCGACAGGCTCCTCCTCTGCTTGCCTCTAGGTGGAGGTGATGCACAGCAGATGGCGTGTCTACACGGGTAGTGGGGGAGAGGGGGGAGAGGGGGAGAGGGGAGTCCTGCCACCTTCTGCTTTCAACAGGGCACATGCTTTTGTGGGGAGAGCTCTGCACCGGGAGGCCGGATGCTGGTGGACCAAGAACACGGCTACATCCCATGGATCCCCAGGGGTTTACCACCCCCAGCACTTCTTAAGCCCCCAGAATGTGCAGGTCATTTTCCAGGTTTAAAATGGCCCATCATCTTTTCTTCACAGCAGGTTAGTTTGAGAAGTAGAATAGTTGAGGCCTTTGATTGGAAGATGGATGTCCTCAGTAAGGAATTAAATACTACTAACGCACAGTAAGCTGGTCATACGTGCTGAGGAGTTCCTCTTTGTCAGCTGCACGTGTTGTGTGAAAGATGTAAGGCTCATGATTACTTTAATTCATCATTATTTTTAAGAATTAAAAATCTTTTACTACAACAGCTACTGTAATGATTGAATTTTCACCTTCACTGAACACGTACGTCTCATCACAGTCCGGTATAATTGACGTTTCCCTGACAGTTTGACAGTTGTTTGTCAAATTCACCCTCCATAGTCATGATCAATATCTAAGACATAATCATATCAAGAGGAAATTAAGATTTTGCCAGCCGGTATGATGCGGACAAGATATATTGAAAGTAGAGGAGAAATAAAGAAAAACACTGCTGAAGTTCAATCTTTTTTTTTTTAATTTTATAATTGGAGTGTAGTTGATTTACAATGTTGTGTTACCTTCAGGTGTACAGTGAGTCAGTTACACATATACATATATCGGCTCTTTTTATAGATTCTTTGCCCATTTAGGTCATTACAGAGTATTGAGTAGAGTTCCCTGTGCTGTACAGCGATGAAGTTCAGTCTTAACAGAGGTTCCTCCTTGAGTTGGATGTGAGCCCTTTGGGGAGTGGTGGTGCTTATTGAGGAGGCTGGTTTGTGAGGCTGCCCCAGGGCCCTGGGTGGACGGAGGGCCTGCGGGCTGAGCTCCACGTCACCACTAACTTGCCGTGTAGACAGCATAAGTTGTCCAGTTTTGGGGTTTTCCCACCCCTGGCCTTGGTCTCTACACTCAAAGAATGAAGGATACTTACCTCCACTAGAATTTAGGTCAACCAAAGCATTTGGGGATTTTTGCTTGAATAACTTGATTTTGTTTGCTTTGGTGCCTTTTTTTTTTTTTTTTTTTTTTGGTGTGTGGTTAGAAGAATCTCAAAGCCTATTTTGTGAGGAATTGGTGAGAGTTACCTAGACTTTTAAAATTGGGTTCCTTGTACATGGGAACTGGGGAATTTTAGAATGGTGGTATAATCATGATTGGCCCAAACCAAGATGATTCTGTTCAGATGCCTGAGTTCTCCCAATCTTCCTCTTTTAAAGTCAACATCCCTTTCTTTGTCCCTTTTCTCCCCATCTCTTTATTTTTTTTTCTCTTTTTTCTTTATCATCTTCACCCCAAGCCCATGGGTCTCTGTGCTTGCTGGTAAAGTCGGGTAGTGTTAAGTTGATTGGGTAGGAGAAATTGTTCATGCCAGCCACACTTCCTGAACAAGGCACCTCCGGGGACTCTAGCTCAGCCCTAAAGCAATGGTCGATCCAATTAGTACGAAACCGCCAGTGTTTCCCAAAATCCACTGAGAATTCAGAACACGCCATCTTTTCGTGGAAATACCCACGACAGCACGACCGAGCCATCTCCTGGGACCACCCTAGGAAGTGCTGAGTCCTCTTTGCCTCCGCGTAACCTGTACCTTCTCTGCCGTTCTTTCATCCTGCAGGAGCCTGTGGCCTCAGACACCCATCTTAACCTCCACTTTCCCCAGGTTTTGTCTGGCAGCCTCATCCTGTGCTTAATCCCCTCCTTCATTGCAGGACATCATTATCTTAGGTTAAACTCTCCCTTTTTCCCGCTGTTTTTCTTCACATTAATGTAATCCCATTCACCTCCAGGAATTCCCAAGGTAAGGAGGGCCTCTGGCCCACTCTCACCTTGCAAGAGTCCCCTGCTCCCAGCGCCCACTCCCGCTTCCTCCCTCTCTCAGGCAGCCCTGTTCCCCTGCCTTTCCTTACAAACTCTCCTGTTATAAAGTCAGCCAGAGAGAAGAGAGTGGCTTTCAGGATTGAAAACCTCATGGTCTGAATTCACGTGGGTGAGTTTATCCCATTCTCTTAACATCACTAGGGTATTTTACTTTTTGTAAGAATATTTGCTTTTTAAGTTCTGGTTCTGTGGTGTGAAACACGCTCCAAAGTCTGGCTTTATTTTTAAAACAACTAGTCCCTGAGGAGCCCAGGGCTTAGATGTCTGGGCTTGCAGGACTGCCTGCAGGGGAGCCTGGTTGCTGCCATCAAGCCTGTCACCGGTTTGGCAGCCCAAGGCTGGCCCTCCTCCTCCCAGCACACGTTTCAGGGGGTAGGTTCGGGGTCACGGCCCGCTGCGGCACAAAGGTCAGCCTGCCTGGCACTCCCAGAGCAGCTGTCAGCCTTGCTCCGCAAATGGGGACCTGCACGACCTCTCACGAGCCTCTGTGACGCAGATGTTTTTGGAGAAAATGCCAGGGGTCTGTTTAAAAGTGCTGCTACCAAGCAGCCAGATTTCCAGAGTTAACACTTGGGATTAATGCCGTGCCCTGCTTATCAGCCAGGCCCTTTGTCCCCTGCAGCCCTGTGTGAGCTTTTCAACAGCTGTTTCCGAAAGTGACCTCTCCCCAGCCAATGCTTTTAATACTCCCTGCAAAACTTGATCTGCTTATGAAAATATCTGAAGTGAACTGTAGCCTGGAAGAACACGAAGCCTAGAAAAGTGTGGCAAAATTGAGGTAAAAGGACACAAAGCCCAAACCCAGGGATCCTCTTAATTCCTGAGAATTAGAAGGCCTGGAGGGAGCATGCAAAAAAACAGGCCCAGCCGCCTGGGCAGGGGCTGAGGGTAGATGCCCAGTGTGGGGTTAAATATCATAGTTACTTAGTTATATTCGACGTGACATTATATTGGCTTCAGGTGTACAGCATTGTGATTTGATGTTTGTATTTTATACTCTCTCTTGTACTGACTAATGTACATAGGCGGTATCTGGCCTCCTCATGATGTGACCGAACGGCATAACTACAGCAGAATCTTCTCCAATACGCAGCCTTTCCTGTTTCTCCATGTTCATTAGTCCTCGGTCTCCTGCTTGGTCCTGGCCACACTTCACATCAGAACTCACCACATCACCAGCACCCTCGCTTAACCATGACAAAGGCAACTAGGAACTGACATCACGGGGCTTTTCTTTAAATACTTTCAAGTACTTTCCTTTGAATAAGTCAGCATTATCCCTTCAGTGTTGAAGAATGTTCCTTTGGCTGAAGTTATTTGAGTGGTTTCTCTCAGGGCTTTGTAAAGAAACAATCCGGAGACAATTAACCCCAGGGAGGCATTGGGAAGGAGAACGGTAATTTGGCTTTCTTCCATCTATGGCTGTTTGAGACATCCAGCTGTATATCTGACTTTTTTCTGTCTTTGTTTTTTATCTTCAACCCGCAGGCTCCGCCGTCTGGCAGCTCATTGCATCCTTCCTCAGGCTCCCGATCTCGGGGACTCACTGCATTGTCGGGGCCACCATTGGATTCTCCCTCGTCGCAATCGGTACAAAAGGTGTGCAGTGGATGGAGCTGGTCAAGATTGGTAATTGCCATTTTCTTTCACTTAGAAGCAGGAAAGTTTGCATTTTCTAGAGTAAGGGTTATTAAAAGTCACCGTTATACTTTCTTCTTTACGTGTTAACGTTTAGAGGACCTATATGGATAGGTCTATGAACGTTTTCCCTTAACATTTCTGTTAGCAGAGATTGTGAACTGTTATGCAGTTTTTAACTCCAGATGCTCTTTTCAAATGCTACATTGTTATCCAGCTTTGAAAATCAGTATCTGTTGTTCACAGGGCATTTAGAAATTTATCTGGTTGAAATCAGTGTGTAGGCAGAGAAAAACTGGGCCCTGGTCCAGGAGTCCGAGTTCCTGGTGATGGGGAGGCGTGGAAGTGAGCCGAGTGCTACTTGCCCCACTGCATCCAGGAGACCCCTCCGTCTGCCTGGTGCTGCTTCTGGGTTGTGGGCTGCCCAGTGGGGACTGTTAAGAGGGGTTTGACACCCTGCTTCCTGGGTCTGACTTTTTCAGTAAGGGGGAAGCCCTTTCAGCCCCATAAGTACCAACACGCCCATTGTGAAAAACACTCTCTCTCGCCCATCTCCATCCTTTTATGAATCATAGTGGCCTTAGGAGCCCTAGAATAAGCGGATCCCTGAACTGCAAGCAGGACACAGATTGCCAGGGAACTCTGCTGACCCCAGGAAACTCACCTGACATCCCAGGAAGCTCACCCGAGGTCCCAGGCTTCTAGAACAGTGGTGCTTGATTCTGGCTGCACTTTCGAATTACCTGGGAGAGCGATTTAAAGATATCAGTGCCCAGACCCCATTTCAAACCTTTTAAATCAGAATTCTGTGGGTGGACCCAGAACGTAACTAGTTTTTGAAAACCCTGCAGATGTTTCCAGTGTGCAGCCAGAGGCTACAGGGTGACAGTACCAGGCTGGCCTTGGAAATTGAAAGGGAAGGTGATCCCCTTTTCAGTGGCCCTTACAGCTGGCACAGGGACGGGGCTGCATGAGGGGCAGGCAGAAGGGGCTCAGTGGGAATCAAAGGAACCGTCATCGGAGGCCGGAGCTGGGAGGTGGTGTGTGTGCTGTGGTCTGGGGTGTGTGTGTGAGGACGGTGACCCCTGTGTGGGGGTCAGTCTGCCAAGGCAGTGGGTTTGTTGGGTTCTGAGTTAAGGTGAACAATTCCAGGAATGTTTACTAATGTATGTACTATATGTTGGTTATCACTGTATTATATAAATAGGACCTGAATTATGTAGAATTTTAACATTCATTAGATTTTCTTTTAATTATTCAGTTGCTTCTTGGTTTATATCTCCGCTGTTGTCTGGTTTCATGTCTGGCGTGCTGTTTGTACTGATCAGAATGTTCATCTTAAAAAAGGTAAGTGAGGCTATCATTTTTTTAATTAAGTTTTAGACCTAATTTTGGTTCTACTCAATAGAAATTAATAGTGAGAGGGGTCAGAGGAATAATTGTTAAGGCACAGCCCCCTGAAGTTGGAATTAGACATTATTCTAAAGTAGGTGAGAAGAGGTGGGTAGAGTACCCAGGGGCTCCCCCAGAACCAGCACTGGACATGAGGTGTCTTGCCATATGACTTAGTTCATTGGTCAGCATTCTTGGGCACTGTGCTCACACCTCAAAAAAGGAAAGATAATTATTTTGTGGACAGTAAACAGAATAGAGGAAGATAGTGTTATGATTTTGAAATGAACTAGCACTAAAAACAGCTGGAGAATTTCTTTACCCAAATGTAAGATGTTTTCTGTTTTTTAATGGAGAAAGGAAGCTTCAGACACTGGTTTTCTTCCTATCCTTGAGGATAGGATAAAAAGAAGGAAATAACACCTACGGGGGCGGGGGGGTGTGTGGGTACATTTTTATCAAAAGTAAAATGAGATGAAAATGGAAGCTTACTGAGATCAGTATTCTCTGCAAGAAACAAAAAAAACCTTGGTGACGTTTCGATTTGCCCGTCAAGGGGCTGTTGTGTTTCATAAGCCCCGCTGCTTGCCTTTGGCTGCTCCGCACACGCGAGCACATCGGGACACGCCTGCCTTCAGCCGTCTCCTTGCTTGAAGACACAGCTCTTCTTCTAGGCGGGCTCAGTCTCTTGGATGGTCACAAACTCACCAGCCCTTCTCCGGGGTCCAGCTGTCCTAGGACCCAGTAACATCTTGGAAGGTGCCACCCACTCTTGCCCCCCCTGCACCCCCGTCATCTGCCCCCCGCCCGGAGTCACTTCCCAGGTTCTCCTGCCCCAGCCTCCGCTTGGGTACGTGCTCTGTATCCCCACACGCTCACTGCCTTCTTATCATTGCACTCGTGTCGTGCAGCGATTTATCTCCTGCTTGGCCCCCTGTTCGCTATTTGACTGTAACATCTGTAAGAGTAGAAACCGTGACTGTCTCTTCGCGTGCGTAGACGGCGCCCAGCACTGCTTAGCCCTTCAGAGACGCTGGTTGAACATCTGTTAAGAGAGAGGGATGGCTGCTTGGATGGGGCCAGGTGATGCGTGCAGGGAAGGAAGGAAAGGAGGGAGGGAGGGAGGGATCGAGGCAGGAGGAGGAAAGGAGCCGGGTCTCAATAAGACAGCTGCCATTTGCGTTGTAAGAATAGGTTATTTGGGGCTTCCCTGGTGGCGCAGTGGTTGAGAGTCCACCTGCCAATGCAGGGGACACAGGTTCGTGCCCCGGTCTGGGAGGATCCCACATGCCGCGGAGCGGCTGGGCCCGTGGGCCATGGCCGCTGAGCCTGCGCTTCCGGAGCCTGTACTCCGCAGTGGAAGAGGCCACAACAGTGAGAGGCCTGTGTACCGCAAAAAAAAGAAAAGAATAGGTTATTTGAGAAAACATAAGGTGATTCAGTTACAACATGCAAACTGAAGACTTCACGCCTTCAGGAGTTACTGGTTGGGAGTCTTTCTGTAGCAGCCGTCGTCCCACAGAAAACAGCATTTTGGAAGAGGAGGCAGTAGGCATGTGAGCATCTCAGCGTTTCGTTTTCAGTTCAGCCTGGGTTCCTGTCCCAGGTCCACGGCAGATCGGGAGGTGATGTGCCTCGTCCCAGGCTCCTGCCCGCCCCTTTGTACCTGTTCCTCACCTGCCCTCCTGTGACTGTGGCTGGGGCTCCCATGCGGCTGAATCACCTTCCACCCCAGCTCTCCCTTTCCTGACATCTCACTTCCATTCACCTCAGGCCTCCTGACAAGTGCTAGTGGCCACTTGAGACATTGCAGGCGGGTTCTTGATGAGTTTACAGTTCTGCAAACGTACTTGATTTGCACACGTTTGCATTTGACAGTAGGAACTGTCAACTAGGACCTGTGAGATAGTCTGTACTTATCCTGACTTCTGTAGCTCGCATCAAGGCTTAGGCCTAATTTTCCTTTTATCATGGGTGGGTCATAGACTCATACCAATGTATACGAGTGTCTTACGTGGTCATCAGAAATTAGCCCGTGTTTGAATTATTTAAGCAACACCTACGTGCCAGTTCCGCGTCGAGGAGTTCCCGGTTCATATTTTTGCTTCAAAATTCTCTGTAGATCTAAACCCTCAAACTCTATATTTTTTCTCTGTAAACTCTAAATTTCGAATATTCTCCCAGGTGTGACTTTGCGTAAAACACGTGCAGTACTGTTCTCGCTGAAATATTAGATTTCGGAAGTGTTGTACCAGAAGCCTAAGGTTGTAAAAAAATGTTTTCTTAGACAAAGAACCCACAGTTCTTTTCACTTTTTAATAGTTGAAGGTGAAATGCTCCACCTCGTGAAAGGATTCTGAAAGTCATAGCATGTGGTCCTGTATTTCCTTGCTTTATGTATTTCAACACAGCAAACCCGGATCGTGTCACAGAGTAACATATAATCTAGTAGTAATGCCATGGTGTTGAAGTCATTTGACTTTCTCAGGGCATCCTCAGAGGGTCAGGCCTCAACATATTTGTTGAAAATGGATTTTGGGGCCAATGTGAATGTAGCTAGAATAGTGAGTGCTCCGGGTCAGGGCTTTAGTCCCAGAAGCTGGCCTCACCAACAGCCCTTCTCTGTCCCCACATCTGCCACCACCTCATGTGATCCCAGCGCATTAACGCGTCTGCTGGTCACCATCATGGGCCCTTTGCCACAGCACTCGTGTAGGAGGAGGGTCAGCCCAGGCCAGCCCTGGGTCTGGAGGTGCACACAGCCCGCGGCAGGGACAGGGCTTTCCCGGAACAGGGCTTGTGTCATTTTGCCTATGCTGCCTGCTGATGCCCCTGGAGTCCTGACCTGCCCCCTTATCTCCTTACCCCGCAGGAGGACCCCGTTCCCAACGGCCTCCGGGCGCTTCCCGTGTTCTATGCCGCTACCATCGCGATCAATGTGTTTTCCATCATGTACACAGGAGCCCCAGGTAAGAGCCCCCGGAAGGTCACGGCCAGCAGGTGGTGTCAGAGTCCAGCGGCAGTGGTGGATTTGTTGGCCAACAGTCAGAAACACTACTCACAGTCGTTACTCATTATGGAGCAGTGAAAAGAGTAGGAGATGCCTTTACTTGTTTTAAATACTCAAGAGAGATGTGAAGTACACAGGCAACAGACTTCAGGTTAAAAAAAGAAAATTGAAATCCCCCTTCGGCCTCAGATTCCTGGTGCTGAGTCGCAGAACATGATCGGACAGCCTGAGCCTCCCTGAGCTGGGGGGGCCCCCGGAGGCAGGGGGGAGCTCGCGTAAGCAGTAGGTCACCACCTTGGGACAGTCCGGGGCGGGGCTGTCACGTGGTCCACAGCACAAACATCTAACCCCCCCAGAACTTGTCAGACCTGTGAGAGCCCTGCCGTTCTGGTTCTGCGTTTCAGATACTGGAACCAGTGATGACTTTCTTTTCCGAATTGCTCCTTTTCTTCCCATTTCGATGTCCTTTGTTCTTTCTTTACAAGGGTTTGGGCTTTGGGGTGGAGCAGGGTTAAAAGTTCCTTTCTTTTAAGTTTTCAGTGTGTAAAGAAGAACTTACGTACAGTACTGTCATTTGCATAACATTCCCGTGCGGAGGAGGTGGTTAACTGTTCTTTCTCACTCACCATTTCCATGCGTATCTTGGTAGAGAGGGTCCCCCATTCCCCTCTGTGAGATGTGCCTCTTACAGCTAGATCCTGAACACGTCCATTGCTGTGGGATGGCCAGAGTCAGCAGAGATGTTTGTGTGTGTCGTTTTCCTTCTTGTTAATGTCCTTTAAGGATTAAGATTCAGTTACGGGCCATATTTGATTAAAACCTCCCTCTCTCTGTTCAGAAGATAAAGTTTCTGCTAAATGGTGTGTCGTATTACAGTTGAAAGCGCCCTCTTCCCAAACGGGGGAAATCCTTATTCATTTCTCCAACCAGGTTTTCTCAAGGCAGTTTTTCTCGGATTGTATAGCCATACCTAATTCTATGTTTGTGTACTGGGCTTTCAGACTTTGGGTGAAGGGAGGGGGCGTGAAGCACCACAGCGGCTCTAAGTAATCTGAAAAGCACAAGGCCGAACGTCATGGTGAGCTGGAGGGAGATGAAACCCTAGCCTCAGATGACAGTGGCCTGACAGCCCTTTGGGCTTGATGAAGTGTGTTTGTCACAGACTGTTTTCATGATCCATAACAAAAAAACAGAGGCAGAGGAAAAGCAATTGCATACCATGAAGTTGAAATTCACCCCACCCCAAGTCTGTGAATCTCACGAAGCTTCCATGTGGTGCTGGGCGGGTCCCGGAGCGCCAGGTGGGAAGTCAGCTGTAGCAGAGAGATGTCTTGTCCACCTGAGCCCTTGTTCTTAGTTCTGTGCAGGCTCTCAGAGCCCAGGGTAACGGAACAAAAAGCCTTCCAACCATCAATAGCCAGACACCTCCCGGGCTAGTGATTTAAGAGATTAAACAAATGAAGGCCGGGGTGTGAGTCCTGGATGTGGGAATTGGTGTAAATGACGACCATTTAGTTCTGTTTCTGCATTTTTTTTTTTTCTAGCCTCTATTCTTCTTGCTCCCTGGTTCTCGGTCTGAATGTCAGAAGACCACAACTGTATGATTTTTATTAAAATTTGACTTTTCCCATACTTACCTATTTTTTCCATCACTTGTTTTTCTCATCTTTTGCTGCAGTTTTATTGGAAATTTGCTAGAAGAATCAGATTACTAAGGGACTAAATTCTAGAGAAGGGCTTCCCTGGTGGCGCAGTGGTTGAGAGTCCGCCTGCTGATGCAGGGGACACGGGTTCGTGCCCCGGTCCGGGAAGATCCCACATGCTGCGGAGTGGCTGGGCCCGTGAGCCATGGCCGCTGAGCCTGTGCGTCCGGAGCCTGTGCTCCACAACGGGAGAGGCCACAACGGTGAGAGGCCCGCGTACCGCAAAAAAAAAAAAAATTCTAGAGAAAATGAAACTAGATAATGGATGAGGCAACTAAGGATAATATAAATATTTCATAGAGAAGTTGTGAAAAATAAATAGTAAATGCTTTTACTGAGCTGAGTTTTACACGAATTAATCCCTTATGTCCTCTGAACTCCACTGGGAAATTGGTAATATTGCTAACGCCCCCTGACAGGTGGGCAGCAGGCACAGTGATGCTGACCGAGTGCCCAAGGTCATAAACTAGTCAGGTGCAGAAGCAGACATTAAGTGGGCAGCCTGGTCCCGAGCCCCAGTTATATGACATTCTTCTGACACACGATGGGGCAGGGGTAAGACACGCAGTATCTAGTGCCTGGTACCTAATGTCACTGTTAATGATGATCAGAATATGCTCAGTCAGAAAAGGACTTTGCTAATTTCTTGGCTCCTGGGGAGTGTTTATGGGATATTCAATAGGTGAGTCTAAATCCTATTTTTATTTAAATGTCTAAGGTTAAGACTAGACATTAATTCCATCCTATGGTCATCTGTAGCTGTGGCGTCATAGTTGGGGATAGGGTTGGGCTGGGAAGAATCACTTCCCCAGTGACTCGGTCCTCTGCCCCTTTTAGAATTTGCCTGCCTTTCTGCCTGTTGGAATTTATTCTTGCTAGTCCTTTTCTTTCTTAGAACGCTTCCATTCAACACATAGGCCCCAGAGATAAAAGGAAAGAATGAAAAGTTTGCTAACAAAAAAGAGTGGCAGCATTCACCTTACCCCGTTTCAACTTTCAGAGATTCTGATAAGTAGCCTTTTTCTAGATGGACGTGAATTCAGTGGGGACCCACGGGCTGTTGAGTTACAGGGTTCTGGTTTGACTTCCTCTGTTCCTCCTCTCTAAGTTATTTTGAAGTTGTTTATATCTTGAGCCTAGCTTGATTTGTTTTACTTTGTGTTTGACATGACTTTTCTCAAAAGTCATCCTTCAGAAACTGAGTTGCACTTTAAAAAATTGTCTTTGCATTTTTGTCCTTTAAAAAATAATTTGCAAGCAGCAAAAATAACTTGAGGAAAATAAAGTACTCACTTGGGTTGGCTTAGATAGAAGCCTGAAGTTTATTTTTAAGGAAAGTCTTCAGCTGTACAGGACCTGTTTTTTGTTTAGCATTTCAAGAACAAACACTGAGGTTCATGGCACATGGCTTTGAGGCGTCAGAGCAGATCAGCTAATGAAGCTTTCTAAGTCAAAGTGTGGTCCCTAGACCGGCAGCATCAGCGTCACATGGACACTTGTCAAAAATGCAGATTCTCAGGCTCAGCCCTAGACCCGATGAACCAGAAATGCAGACCAGCAGTCTGTGTTTACCAGGGAGACCCTGGGTGATCGGATGCGTGTGCATTTAGAGGACCCCTGCCCTAACCACCCCTTTATCATAACCTTTTACCGTAAACGCTGCTGTCTTATCACGGTTCTCATGTAAGGGGTGCTCTTCAAAAGCTCTAGTTAGGAACCTTTGCTCACTCCTTACTAGCAGATGAATTCTCAGACTTAACCAGGCCTGGTTTCTGGCTTCCCCAGAGTGGTCTGCACCTGAGATGGGGCTGCCTCCCCCTCCCCCTCCTCCTCCCTCCCCTCCCCCGTCTCCATCTCCTCCTCCAGTGGCAGCTCTTGTGGTCCAGCCCCCCCGAGGGAACCAGAGCATCAGCCACCCCTCAGGTCCCCACTGACTCGGGAGAAGGAGCTTTGTTCCCAGAGGACCTCTGTGTTCCGTGTTAGCTGTAGAGAATGTTCTGGGCTGTAGAGAAGCTGTGCATTGGAGCTTCAGTGATTCCCAGCCCAGGGCCCTGGGTGGGGAAGGCCTGGGCTGAGAAGATTCTCCAGTATCACTGAGAGCTTGATTCAGAACAGAGTGATTTAAACTTACTTCCTTCTCAGAATTATTATAAATGAACCCTGGTTTGAGAAAGCTGGTACCATATGCATTAAAAAAAAAATCCCAACTATAGGACAAATTAGGAAATAGCATTTTTGAATTTCAAAACAATGCTTCATTTTCTTTCTTTCTTTTTTTTTTTTTTTTTTTTTTTTTTTTTTTTTTTGTTGTGGCCTCTCCCGTGGCGGAGCACAGGCTCCGGCCGCGCAGGCTCAGCGGCCGGGGCTCCGGGGCCCAGCCGCTCCACGGCATGTGGGATCTTCCCGGACCGGGGCACGAACCCGTGTCCCCTGCAACGGCAGGCAGACTCTCAACCACTGCGCCACCAGGAAAGCCCAATGCTTCATTTTCTTAAAGTTACCCCAGGATTCCTTTCACATAGGGAGCTTCTCTAATGCTTGAGCGTGTTGATCTAAAACAAAACAAAAACTAGAAACTGCATTTATCAGGGAAGGGAGGACTAGTAAAAAGCAATTCTACAAATGAGGCAGACATGTGTCTGTGTGCGCGTGTTACTGTGGAAAGATGTCCATAATATATTGTTATGTGAGAAATGAAGGCACAGAAGAATATATACAGTGTGATTTACATCTATTAAATTTAAGGAAAAGAAAAAAAATTCTCACAAACACTCTGCACCATATGTTTATGTCTAGAAAATGCCTGAAAAGATACACACCAAATAGTTAACAGTGTTACTCTGGGAAGTGGGTTCAAGAAGGATGGACGACGAGGAATTTCCACAGTTGTACGTGATACGGTTTTATACAGCTGATATTTTTGCTGGTATTTTTATTTTTAAAACAATTTTTATTTTATATTGAAATCTAGTTGATTTACAATGCTATGCTAGTTTCAGGTGTTCAGCAAAGTGATTCAGTTATACATATATATATCTATTCTTTTTCAGATTCTTTTGCCATATATGTTATTACAGAGTATTGAGTAGAGTTCCCTGTGCTATAGAGTAGGTCCTTGATGATTATCTATGGGTGATATTTTTATAACCATATATTATTTATAAAATTAAACCCGAGAGAGAGAGAAGAGAGGGTGCAGGAGAGGCTGATGAGTAGTGTAAGGGAACTAATGTGGGCTAAAAAGCCTTACTTGTTTTATAGAAGCTTAATTTATTTTATTAGATTCTAACAATGATTGTTATATATGAAAATCAAGAGATGTAGCAAAGTAATAATGACTCCAGAAGACTGTGTTTCTAAAAAGTTCTCCGCTTTTCCTCATGTCACTTGGATATCCTGATCTTCGGGGGATTTGGGAGAGAGTTGCAAGGATGCTTGTGGTTAGAGCTAAATCACTATTCATCATATCTTTGCTGTTCAGAAAATGAAAGAGCTTGAGATGAAGGGCCATTTAGGGGCTGGAGTGAGGCCTGGGCTTGCGAGCACCCAGTGTGGGCTCCTGGCAGCTGCTCTTGGCCGCGGGGCCCGGAGCAATTCAAGCCGTGTCCTACTTTGCCTTCCGCGGGGTGACGGCGCCGGGCCTCAGTGCCCTCTGGAGCGTTGTTACCGGAAAACAATGTGAGATCCTCGCAGGAAGGATGATCAGTGCGAAGTATTTTTGTCAAAAATTTTGTTGTGAAAAGGTCAACCTTGAATCTTCAGAAGACAAAAAGTTTTCCCCTGGAGGTACGTTGATTCAAAGGCTTTTCCGTGCTGGATTTTTGCATTTAATTGTTTTTTTATCCATGAAAGTTGATTTTATGTATTTAGTACAGTTTAGAGCTGCATCCCGTAACTGTCAGTCTGCATTTCTTATATGCAGGCTTTAAAAGTAAATCCTGGTGCGCTTTCACACACACACACACACACACACACACACACAAATTCTTTTTTAGGTTCTTTTACTGTAAGGTTTAACCTTATAGGTTATTTCAAAATACTGAGTATAGTTCCCTGTGCTCCACTGTAGACCCTTATTTATATATTGTAGTGTGTATTTGTTAATCCCCAGACTCCTAATTTATCCCCCCACTTTCCCCTTTGTAACCATAAGTTTGTTTTCTGTGCCTGTGAGTCTGTTTCTGTTTTGTATGTACGTCAATCCTGTGAACTTCTGATGCTCTGTTAATTTACTAAATTGGCATAATAACTTGGTAAGACCCAAGTCCTGTCCCCGTTCTGTTCCTCCCTCCTCTCTTACTCACCATGGATGGCTGCCCCCGCTTTCCTGGTTCCTTTGTTGTGCTTCACACCCTTGGTTTTTCCCTTTGTCTCCCACCCCTTCCACCCTCAGTGATATGTGGAGCCCCTGACCTCCCGTCCAGTTCCTGTGACTCAGAGGGTGGCTTCGGACCTTCTTGGCCACTTCCCAGGCCAAACCGACGGCGAAGGTAGTTGTAATGGTAAAGGTTCAAGGGTCAGGTGACATTGTGGCTTATTGTCTAAGAGAAGCATCAGAAGTCGTGTAGCCGGCCTCAGTTCCTCCCTTTTGGATGTGGGTCCTGACACCCTCCAGAACTCACGTGACCTCCGCGGAGAGCGTGGAGTTGGGCCTGGAAGGTGCACGTAGAGCAGCCCTGCCCTGCCTTGTCGTGAGCTCTGCTCGGCAGGGAAGGAAGCAAACGGAGCCTGGGGGCAAAAGTATTCACTCGTTTAAATATTCCCATATCAGCTCCCAAACTGCATCCCCTCCCCAGAGTACCCAGAGCTCGCCTGTCTTAGATCAAGTTAACGCGGTGAAGCCAAAAGTAGCCCAAGTAACAATTTTATCGTCAACGGAACCAGGAACCACCAAGGAAACCATGAAACCTCTTCAAAAGCCAAGTATTTTTAAGCTGTAGTTGGTGTTGATGTTCGTTCATCAGTTTGATGTTGGTAATTAACAGTTACCACTCAGTTAGCAAGAAACAGCTTTGGAGTGGTCTTTTACCACATGTATCAGACACTGGCATGAAGACATAAAGCAGAAGCAGGAAGCCGTGGCCAGTGAGGTCAGCCTGAGTGGTTCTACAAGCAGTTCCAAGCCTCGTATCCGATGACACAGCCGGGGCTGGAGCAGGGCTGCCAGGTGCCTCAGTACAGCCCTCCATGGGGCCATATGCTTTCTGGTGTAATCGGGCGTTTGAGGGTGGAGTGGCCTGACCGCTGAGTGTCTGCTGCCACCAGTGACCCCTCCACTGTACTAAGGCTGGGTGATCTTGGTTTTTTGTTTTTTATATATATATATATGTTAATCCTGACTCCCCATTTAGAGTATTAACTACCTGTTCTCCCTCTTACCATTACCAAAATGTCTAATAATACCTTACCTGAGTAACTGTAAGTTGGTTTGTATGTATAGAGTGGCTAACAGTGTAACTAACAAAGCCTGTATCATTAGAGATTTGTTTAAGAGCAGAGTTTTAAATAGTTCACTCCTTTCAAACTTTGAAAAAAAGTTTAACAATTTACAAAAGTGTGTGCCCATTATAAATTTTCAAACTTAACAGTACAAAAGTATATGTAGTGAGAAGGGAGAGCCCCCTCCAATTTCTCATCACTCCACAGGAGTAACCACTGATTCTTTCCAGAACTTTTTCTGTCTATTCACACATATGGTAGGAGTGTGTGGGGGGGGTTGTTTTCTCTTCTAAACATAAATTGGGTCATGCTACACACACCGTGATCCAGATGGCCTTTCTTACTTAAGTAGATCGCGGGCCTCTTTCCTTATGAGCACGTTTAGACCGACCTCATTTTTACGCTCTGCACCACACTGACTTAACGTTTCCATGGAATGATGCGTGTATAAGTCATCTTGCAAATTCTTCCCATTACAAATAATGCTGTAGTGAGTGTTCCTGTGCCTGTTATCTTTGTGCCTGTGCAAGGGTGCACCTGTGAGCGTGTGTGAGTCACGCCTGTGCGGCCGGCAGAGCTGGGCTCCGGGGCCCACGGGGCTAGGAAGCCTGACGCTTCCCCACCCTCCATACTTTCACTGGCTGATGGAATGGCCGCTTCATGTGCTGGACTGGATAGTAATGAAAAGTTTTTCTATGTTGTAATTCCATGAGTTGACACTTTAAAGAAGAGTTGAGTTTGAAAGTCAGTGTCCTTTTAAAAAAACTTTTCTAAGTTTTTATTTTATTTTAACAGTAGAAAGGGTTGATTTATGCATATGGAGGCCTTCACAGAAAAGACATGGACACGCAAAGCAGCAGTTAGACTTTGGGATTTATATACCATTTTGACAACGGGTGATCCGTTATGGAAAGTGACTAGGAAGTACAGGAGGAAAGAGAATAGAACGGTTATTTTAGCAAGGTCTGTTTGTGCAGACTTATCTTGGTATTGGTGCCTTGTTTCCAGTGGTGAGGGTCACTTTGTTCTTCCTGGAACAAGGAAGGCACGTTTCTCACAAGAAATTTATGCCCTGCTTTCAGGCACTTACGAAGGGGGCAGCAGACTCTTCCTGTGTCTGCTGTTTCTCAATTTAATCTGACATTAAAAAAGGTTTGTGTGTGTGATCTGAGCGTCATGTCCATTTAAAGCCCGGCTGCTGACTATTGAGAAACCAAAGAGGCAGCTGCCCGCCTTGCTGTGCCCGCTGCAGCCCTGGGCTTCGCGCTGCCCGGGGGCAGGGGCGGGGGCACTAGGAGGGAAGACTGACCCTTTGTTACCCCTGTTTGTCCACTCAGGAATTTAGATATTGAGATAATACTGTAAATGGGTTTAATCCCAACTTAATATGCCGTTTGTGCCAAGTTGGTCGATTTTTAATAATTAGGTTACTTACTGATTTAACCACATATTTTCAAAGCTGTGTGTCTTAAACACACAGCTTTGTACCCCTGAAAGCCTAGCACATCTTTTTTGGTTGAGAGTTTTATTAAACACGGAATCCAGGTGATTCGTTTCAGGTTTGGGGAATGGCAGGTATGTGGACGTGATGCCCAACGTTTGAGAAGTATCCCCTTTATCCCCAGTGCTGGGCCTGGTCCTTCCCATATGGGCGATTGTGCTCATCTCCTTCGGGGTCGCGCTGATGTTCGCCCTCTTCGTGTGGCTCTTTGTGTGTCCGTGGATGCGGAGAAAGATAGCAGGTAAGGGCTTTGCTGTTCTTCTGATCTGCAAGAGTGCTCTGACTGCTGAGCCCTCGCTGTCGTCCTCGGTGATCCTGACTGACAGAGGGACACACGCCGAGATCAGGCCAGTCCTTGGCTCGTGGCTCCTGACGGCTTTCTGGCTCAAACTTTTCCTTGGTAACTTGGGACCCAGGTGAGAGTGAGGTCCTAGTTGCCATGGCTAATGGAAGGTAACTGCCTGCTGAGAAACATGAGATTATACAGATCAACACCACAGTCAGGTAGCACTTCCCTCCCTCAAGAGTGGCTAAAGGTAGAAAGACTAGATTACAAGTGTGATAACTGGAATTCTCATATATTTATGGTGAAATAAAAACTGGTACAGCCATGGGGGAAGTTAGTTGAGCAGTTTCCTGTAAGGTTAAGCAAACATTTACCATGTGGCCCATTAATTCTACTCTTAGGTATTTATCCAAGAGAAATAAAAAGACTTGTACACAAATTGGTCAGTCATACTAGGCAAAAAATGGAAACAACCCACATGCTCATTAACAAGCGAATGGATAACCGAATTATGGTCTGTTCATACAATAGAAGACGAATTAGCAGTGAAGAGGAGAAGTGCAGGGAGAAGCCAGACACAAAGGAGTCCATACTGCATGATTCCAGGGGACGGTAATCCACAGCGGGAGAAACCACTGGTTGCTGGAGACTGACTGCAAAGGGGCACAAGGGACAAGAGGGAACTTTAGGGACAGGAGGGGACTTTGCAGGGACAGGAGGGAACTTTGTAGGGACTGGAGGGAAATTTCCAGGGACAGGAGGGAGCTTTGTAGGAACAGGAGGGAACTTTCCAGGGACAGGAGGGAACTCTAGGGACAGGAGGGGACCTCGCAGGGACAGGAGGGAACTTTGTAGGGACTGGAGGGAAATTTCCAGGGACAGGAGGGAGCTTTGTAGGGATAGGAGGGAACTTTCCAGGGACAGGAGGGGACTTTGCAGGGACAGGAGGGAACTGCAGGGACAGGATGGAGCTTTGCAGGGACAGGAGGGAACTTTAGGGACAGGAGGCAATTTGCAGGACTCTGTTAATTGGGGAGTAGTTACAGGCTGTAGTCATTTGTCACAGGTCATCTACGTGTACATTTAAAATGTATAAATTTTACTGTATGGAAATTATACCTCAATGAAAGCAATTAAAGAAAAAAAGAAGATGACTGTGGCTTAGAAAATTGCAGGAGGTATTTTCCTGTCAGTGGCAACATGATTGAATTCCAAGTCTGGAGGCCACACAGAGCCTTTTACAGGCCTCAGAGTGTACCTTACAATCACACGTTCATACGGATATATCTGAATTTGAGAAACCCACATTTCAAAGAACAAAACAAATGAGGAGACATACCATGCTCATGAACGCAAAGACTCAATACCAGAAAATGTCAGTTTGTCTCAAATCAATCTATACATTTAAACACAATTTAAATAAAAATCCCAGCAGGATATTTTGTAGATTTAGACAAGTCACTTTAAAAAATTTATATGGAAAGGGAAAGGAACTGGCATAGCCACGAAGCAATTTTGGAAAAGAGTAAATTTGAAAGACCTGTACTGCTTGGCTTTCAGAGCTACTGTAAAGCTACAGGAAAGTGTGGAATTGGTGAAGAGAGACACCTAGATTAACAGAACAGAGTCCAGAAACAGAGCCACAAATATATATGGCCAAATGATTTTTGACAAAATACAAAGTCAGTTCAATGGAGGAAGAATAGTCCTTACAATGAATGGTATTGGAACAGTTGGATATTGAATGCCAAAAAGAGAACCTCGACCTAAGCCTTACACCTTGTAAAAATTAACTCAAGATGCATCACAGATAAAAATGTAAAATAGAAAACCATAAAACTTTTAGGACAAAAAAGGGAAAACTTTTGAGACCATTGGTAAAGCAAAGAGTTTTTAGATATGATACCAAAAACAGTTCATAAAAGAAATTGGTAAATCGCACTTCATCAAAGTCAGAAACTATTGCTCTGTGAGAAACAGTATTAAGAGAATTTAAAAAGACAAGTTACAGACTGAGCAGCAGCTGGAATGCTCGTGTACTCCTGGTAGGAATGCAAAATGGTGCAGCCTCTCAGGAAAGCAGTTTGGTGGTTTCTTATAAGGTTAAATATACACTTACCCACTCCTAGGTATTTACCCTAGAGAAATGCAAATTTAAATTCACACAAAAGCCTGGATATGAATGTTTATGGCAGCTTTATTTGCCATCACCAAAAACTAGAAACAGCAGGGATTATCCACAGAACGAATAAACAAGCACGTATTTATGTAAATAAATACATCCATGTATTAGAACACTACTTGGCAGTGAAGAGTGAGCTACTGAAACCTGCAACAACTTGGATGAACCTCAGATGCACTAACCATGCCAGGTCAGAGAAGCCAGCCTCAAAAGCTCATGTCTTATGGTTCCATTTATATGACATGTGGAAAAGACAAAACTGTAGGGACAGAGAGCAGATCAGTGGTTGTCACAGGCTAGGGATGGGCAGAGGGGCTGACTGCCAGGGAGGCTTTAGGGGCTGATGGAACCCTTCCCCATCCTGATTGTGGATTGTCTGTAGGAATCTAGACATTTGTTAGACTGAAGATTCTACACACACAGACAGCCAATTTACTGCATGTAAATTTAAAAACTAATAATAAAAAAACGACATTAATACATACAACTTGAAACTAAGTAGCGAAGCCACATTGATGACAGATTGATAACCAGCTGCTGCTTTGTCTCCTGTGTAGCCGTTCCCACTTTAGGTTGAGAAGGAGCCCCCCTTAAACATCATGCTTGGCTGACTTAACCCCATGGGAAGTGATAAACTATACTTAAATGCTCTGATGTCTAAAGGCTTTTTCTCATAGCTGAACCTTAATGTGAAATGGGCCATAAAATCTTTTCTTCCTCATTTAGGCTATAATGTTACAGCAGGAAACTGACATCACTACCCATGCTGGCTTCCCAGGAGATTTTTTGGTCAATGCCATGTATTTTGACATTTCAGTATATATGTATCTTTTTCTATTAATTTAAGTACAGACTGTGGTTAAGGGCATGGACAGAGAGTAAACCGACTGCATTTTGCTACCTATGTGACCTTCGGCAAATGACTTAATCTCTCTGGGCCTCAGTTTGCTGTTTATAAAGGAGAGAAAATAATAATACCTGTTTCATGTGTTAACAGGTTTTTTTGGGAAATCCCTGGCGGTCCAGTGGTTAGGACTCCGCACTTCCACTGCAGGGGGGCACGGGTTCAATCCCTGGTTGGGGAACTGAAATACCACAAGCAGCGCAGTGCGGCCAAAAAAAAAAAAAAGGTGTTTTTTAAAAATTGTTATTATAATCTTTACAAATATTATCTTTTCTCATCTAGATTGTAAGCAACTTGAGGTCAAAGATCTGTATGCACACTTTTTTGTCCCTTGCAGTACATAACAAATTTAGTTTTGAAAAAATCTATCTTGTATCTGACTATCTAGGTAAGTATAGAAATAGAGGTGATGCTGAATGTGTTCAACAGAGGAACCGAGAATGTCTCCATTTCAGTTGGGTAGGTAAGAGCTTAGACATCTGCTCAGGTGAGGAAACAAGGTCATAAATCACCAGCACCACACACCAGATTTGATTAAAAAGAATGCTCTCCAGCTTCAAACTGCTTTTTAAAAATCCCTGGTTTGGGGCCTTCCCTGGTGACGCAGTGTTTGGGAATCCGCCTGCCGAAGCGGGGGACGCGGGTTCGTGCCCCGGTCCAGGAAGATCCCACATGCCGCGGAGCGCCTGGGCCCGTGAGCCATGGCCAATGGGCCTGCGTGTCAGGAGCCTGTGCTCCATAACGGGAGAGGCCACGGCAGAGAGAGGGCCCTGGTACCCCAAAAAAAAAAAAAAAAAAAAAAAAAATCCCTGGTTTCTTTTGAAAGTAAAAGTAAGTAGAATCTCTCTGTTCCTTTTTTTTGCGGTACGCCGGCCTCTCACTGTTGTGGCCTCTTCCGTTGCGGAGCACAGGTTCCAGACGCGCAGGCCCAGCGGCCATGGCTCACGGGCCTAGCTACTCCGCGGTATGTGGGATCTTCCCGGACCGGTGCACGAACCCGCGTCCCCTGCATCGGCAGGCGGACTCTCAACCACTGCGCCACCAGGGAAGCCCTCTCTGTTCCTTTTGAGGAAAATGATTTACTTGTTTCCTAAGATTTGGTGACCTGAAGAAATCTGAGAGCAGTCATTTACTGAACATAAGAAAACCAAGCAGACTATAACAGTATCTTTGAAGACAAAAAGGATAAACATTTCAGGGATTCTGAGGTTAGTTTAAGAAAATAGAAGGCCAGTCTAGATGGTTGTAGAATTTACAGATTGTTTACCTTGGGAATCAATCTAATCCTGTCTTTTTTGTTGGTCTTGGATGAGATAACTCAGGCCTAAGCCTCCATCTTTCCCTCCATAGCTGAGTTTTCTAGCCTGTGTTTCCCAGATGATTGAACTCTCCACTTTATTTTGTCTAACTTTTTTCTTCATTCCCAAAGTAAGTATGTAGCAAGATAAATATTTATTTTTATATTCATTTGTCAGTAACAAGAATTCTCTGACAAAATTTTCAGTTATGACTCTATTTTCTTTAGGCAAATTACAAAAAGAAAGTGCTTTGTCGCGAGTCTCTGATGAAAGCCTCAACAAAATTCAGGAAGTGGAGTCCCCAGTATTTAAAGAGCTACCGGGTGCCAGGGCTCATGACGACAGCACTGTCCCCCTCACCGGGTCGGCCGCGGAGCCGTCCGAGACCTCAGAAAGCACGACAGGGGGACACCACCCCCGTGTACCGTACGGTAAGACCCCTGGGGGCTGGGGTGGCACTGGGCCTGCCGGCCTGCGTGTGCCACTGAGGCTCCAGTGCACACAAGTGTCCCCCGGTTTCTGCTTTGAGAAAACCCAGGCCCTAAAGACGCCTCAGAGACCAGGCAGTCGCAGAGCAGGCTTACTCGTGTCCTATGATTTTCCTCCAAGAACCGTTTACCTACAGTCTCCCAGCGGCGCCCAGACCCCCCGTACCACCCCTCTGAGTTCCTCACCTGCATCTTCCACGTGCAGTCACCTAACTGCTGGAGACCGGAAGGTCGGTTTATCTAGCTTAATGTGAACGCCTTCCTCCTGGAAGACGCAGAGGGAAAGCTGACATTGGAACGGGAGGGGGTCCCACTAGAGAATCACAGAAACCATCAGGACCATCTTGGGGGGGAGGTTCTTCATCCCACAGCATCTCTGGACAGTGATGAGCAGGCACCAGCGTCTGTCTGGCCCACCTCCCTGCAGGGGCACTGGCACCGATTTCCAGGCTGCGTTTAGGACTTGGCCAAAGAAGGGAAACAAACTCTGCCCACTGATCTGACAGATCTGCCTTTGACTGCCCAGATTGGCCTTTTTTTATAAAATGGAAGTATAGTTGATTTACAATGTTGTGTTAATTTCTGCTCTACAGCAAAGTGACTCAGTTATACATATATATACATTCTTTTTTTAAAATATTCTTTTCCATTACGGTTTATCACAGGATATTGAATATTGTTCCCTGTGCTCTACAGTAGGACCTCGTTGTTTATCCAGTCTCTATGTAATAGCTTACATCTGCTAATCCCAACCTCCCACTCCATCCCTCCCCCAGCCCCGCCCCCTTGGCAACCACCAGTCTGTTCTCTATGTCTTTGATTCTGTTTCTGTTTCATAGATGAGTCCATTTGTGTCATATTTTTAAGGAACACTTACAGTGTGTATCTCTCAGGGTTCTGGGTTGGGTCCCTCTTATATGAAGTTTTTTGTAAAATGAGCTCCTTACAGGGAATCCTCCCTTTACTGGTTCCTAGAAAAGGAGAGAGTGCTACCGTGATTTCTGGAAGACACATTTTTAAGAGACCGTAACATCATTTTTTTTTTTTTTTTTTTTTTTTTTTTTTTTCTTGCGTTATGCGGGCCTCTCACTGTTGTGGCCTCTCCCATTTGCGGAGCACAGGCTCCGGACGCGCAGGCTCAATGGCCATGGCTCACGGGCCCAGCCGCTCCGCGGCATGGGGGATCTTCCCGAAACGGGGCACGAACCCGCGTCTCCTGCATCGGCAGGCGGACTCTCAAGCACTGCGCCACCAGGGAAGCCCCGTAACATCATTTTTTAACTACCATATTATTAGTTTTACTTACCCTTTGTTGTATGTTTCCAAGTTTCCCTTTTTATTTGAACCATACTGCAGGGCCTTCATAGTCAAGTTAGAAAATGGAGCACGTGGGAAAAAGCAAAAGCACCCGCCACCCCACCTTCCCCAGATGACCTTGTCTCTCAGTCTGTCCCCTTGTCCCCCTGCAGGCCGGGCGCTGTCCATGACACACGGCGCCAAGTCGCCCGTGTCTAACGGGACCTTTGGCTTTGACGGCCCCGCGCGCGGCGACGGCCACGTGTACCACACGGTGCACAAGGACTCAGGGCTCTACAAGGACCTGCTGCACCGCATCCGTGACGAGCGGCCGGCGCCGGACGGGGCCCCGCGGCTGCTGCGGCGCAACAACAGCTACACGTGCTACACGGCGGCCATCTGCGGGCTGCCCGGCCTGGCCACGCGCCGCGGCGACACGCCCGCACCCGAGGACAGCGAGAAGCTGGTGGCCGACGCCGTGGCCTACTCTCGCCGGCGGCTGCGCTACGACAGCTACTCCAGCTACTGCAACGCCGTGGCCGAGGCCGAGATCGAGGCCGAGGAGGGCGGCGTGGAGGTGCGCCTGGCCACCCCGCTGGCCGAGCCCGAGCCGCCGCGCGATGACGTGGCGGACGACGAGAAGGAGGAGAAGGACTCGGCCGAGGTCCACCTGCTTTTCCACTTCCTGCAGGTCCTCACGGCCTGCTTCGGCTCCTTCGCGCACGGCGGCAACGACGTGAGGTCAGTGCCCAGGGCGCGCGGGCGGGGCGGGGCGGGGCGGGGGGGAGGCGCACGGCAGACACAAGGCCACCGTGGAACCTCGCAGGTCTGCACTGCCCGGGTCCACCGACATGGGCTTTTCCCCCACGAGTGTAGCACCCGCATCTTCACCGCGCGGATCTTTAAATGAACTAGGTGTGGGGGAAGGTTTTTGTTGGATCGGAGTTCACAACCCGCGGAATCAGAAGATGTGGGGTTTAAGCCCTGACTCTGCCCACGCCATTCCAGCTTCCTGCCCTGCCTGTGTTATTCATCAGTTCCTTTTGGTTTTGAGTCAGAGAGAGCAGTACCCGGATTTCCAACGAGTTGTTCAAGAGTCACCTGTGAATAAGTAGCTCCTGTACTGTGCCAGACGGTGACACGTGTTAAAGGGAAGAGACGAGTAGAAAGGGGGGTGGGACCCCTGGAGCGCTGCCGTGTTGGACTGCTGCTCGGGTCAGGAGGGCTCACCGAGTGACACCTGCAGGGGCTGAGGGCGCAGCTGTGTGCTCGTCTGTAGGAGAACATTCCGGAAGAGGGGACAGCAGGTGCGAGGGCCCGTGGCAGGACATGCCTTGGGGGGCGGGTGGGTGTTCCGGGAAGAGCCACAAGCAAGAGCGTGGAGACGCTCAGGTCGGCGGGTCGTGGAAGCCCCGAATGTGTAGTCTCTACCCACCTCTCACTGGCTGGGCAGCTCTGGACCAGTCACTGAATTTCCCAAAGCCTCAGTGTCCCAATCTGTGAAGTGGGAGTAAAGCTAGTACCAACCACATGGGATTTCTGTGAAGATTAAGTGAGATGCTTTATATAACAAGCTCAAGACAGTGCTCTCCCATAATCAGTATCCCTACATTTTCACTCTTACTATTATTATAGTTATCACACAGGCTAATGTTTCTGTCCAAATCAGGAAAACATGCCATTGTTGCTTTTTTGTTTTTGCTCAGTTATAGGACTCTGTTTTACACCGTCTACCCACGTGCACCAGCGTTTCTGTTCTTTTTAAAAGAAGTCTTTGTGCCAGAGAAGAGGCCTGGACATCTTAGTTCTGCTCAGTGTCATCTAGGGGTCGCCATGTTATTTAATTGGGGGCACCATGTTCTGTCTCCTCTTAATAATTTTTTTTCTGCCCTCCCCCACCAGCCCACTTCCTCCTCTTTATCCACAAATTCTTTATTGAAAGCCTGGTACTGTCAAAGTGTTATGAATTGGGTCCCTGTCCTTTAGGAGTTTAAATTCCAGTTAAGGAGACAAGAAAGACATACACGTAGAAAAGTAACAGAACACCCCAAAACAGTATTTAAAGGCCAGAGGAAGAGTCTAGGCAGTAGCTGCTATAGGTGACCAGAGTTTAGAGCAACTGTTTGCATGTTGAGGGCTGTTTTTGAGGCTTTTGAGCAGGGATATGGTCTGATGAAAGCAAGGTTTTAGAAATAATAGTGTGATGTGAAGAGGGGGCTTCTGTTCATTCAGGAAGAAGTTATCAAGTCTGTACCAGGGCTCAGAGCTGAACCATTTGTGACGTACCCTAACCCTCCTCAGAGCAGTCCTTTGCAGTCCTAAGTGGTATCCTTCAAAGACAGGGAATCTGAAGCTCAGAAATGTGACTTTCTTGCCCAGAGTCACACAGCTGGAGAGAAGCGGACTTGGGAGCTGGCTCTTTGTGACTCAGTCTGCAGAGTGGAGGGTGGGCGGAGAGCTACAGAGGCTGTTGAAAGCCCATAGGGAGCCTGGAAGTTGTCACTCTACCCTAACAACAGGAGAAAACTGAATGGACTGAAAAGTCAACAACTCTTCTTGGATCCAGAAAGGAGAGGAGGACACAGGACAAACCACTGCCCTCAAGATTGGAGGGACAGACAGTCCTGGAAGAGTGACTTAGGAGTGGAAGCTGCCATGGGAACCAGGGAAACCTGGACTGGAATGATGGACCCTGGAGGCTAAGGGGGGACAAGCAGAGAGTTAGAGGCTCCAGGGGACCCATGGTAGGGGGACCCCATGATATTGTGAGTTTTACGTCCAAGAGCTGTACCAGGTCCTCACAGTGAATATCAGGGAAGAGAAATCCCCTCCTGCTCCTGTCGGGGGAGGGAAAGCATCTGACAGAAGAGAGCAACTGTGTGCTTAACCAGGCCTGCTCCCAGGGGAAACCAGGTCACCAGAGCCCAGCCTGCAGGGGGATTACCACAGCCTAACTGACCTGGGGAGGGGAAATACACTCCAGACTTCCCTCACCTTCCACTTGGGCGAAGGGAAGCACCCACTTAAGGGGGAAGCAGAAACTAAGAAACACTTGTGAAGTTCACAGTCCAGAGGGACAGGCTCACTGAGAGACCGAGACCTCATCAAAGGACTACAGAAGGCTTCTCCATCCCCAGACCTACCACCACATCACTAAAGGCCTATTTACAGCAGTTCCTTCTACCCAGGAGATCATGTCTGGTTATCAAGAAAAATTTACAAGGCATACCAAAAGGCAAAAAACACAATTTGAAGAGACAGAGCAAAATTCAGAACCAGACATGGCTGGGATGTTGGAATTATCAGATGAGGAATTGAAAACAGCTACAATTCATATGCTGAGGTCTCTAATGGATAAAGTAGGCATCCATTAGATGAGCAAGGTAAGCAGAGAGAAGGAAATCCTAAGAAAGAACCAAAAAGAATACTGGAGATCAAAAACACTGTAACAGGGCTTCCCTGGTGGCGCAGTGGTTGAGAGTCCGCCTGCCGATGCAGGGGACACAGGTTCGTGCCCCGGTCCGGGAAGATCCCACATGCTGCGGAGTGGCTGGGCCCGTGAGTCGTGGCTGCTGAGCCTGCGCGTCCAGAGCCTATGCTCCGCAACGGGAGAGGCCACAACAGTGAGAGGCCCGCGCACAGCAGAAAAAAACAAAAAACAAACCAAAAAACGCACTGTAACAGAAGTGAAGAATGCCTTTGATGGGCTCATTAGTAGACCAGACACGGCGGAGGAAAGAGTCTCTGAGCTTGAGGATATGTCAATAAAATCCTCAAAAAGCAAAGAGAACAGAATATCCAGTGGAACAACTACAAAAGGTGTAGCATATGCATAAAAAGAAGACCAGAAGGAGAAGAAAGGGAGAAAGGAACACATGAGATATTTGACTGAGTCACAACAGTGACTGAGAGTTTCTCTAAATTAATGTCAGACACCAACCACAGATCCAGGAAGCTCAGAGAACACCAAGCAGGATAAATACCAAAAAAAGTACACCTAGGCACATCATATTCAAACTTCAGAAAATCAAAGATAAAGAAAAAATCCTGAAAGGAGCCATAGGAAAAAAAACTACCTTACATATAGAAGAACAAAGATAAAAATTATATCTGACTTCCCCTCAACCCTGCAATCAAGAAGAGAGTGGAGTGAAAGAAGTTAAGTGTTGAGGGAAAATCCCACCAACCTAGAATTGTGCAGCCTGTGAAGTTATCCTTCAAAAGTGAAATGAAGACTTCAGAAGAAATAAAGACTTTCTCAGACAAACAATAATTGAGGGAATTTGTTGAAAGTAGACCTGCCTTGCAAGAATTATTAAAAGGAATTTGTTAGAGAGAAGGAAAATAATGTGTGTCAGAAACTCAGATCTACATAAAATAAGGAAGAGCATTGAAGAAGGATTAAGTGATGGTAAAAAACCTTAAATTTTTCTTATGAAACTGAGTTAACAGATAAGACTTGGTTCAGAACAATAATACCAACAATGTATTCAGTTATATATGTTTATGTATATATTATATACATATATACTTTAATATATAAACACATCTTAACAAATTTTTTTTTTTTTAGCTGCTTTGGGTCTTCGTTGCTGCACGCAGACTTTCTGTAGTTGCGGCGAGCGGGGGCTACTCCCGTTGCTTCTCATTACGATGGCTACTCTTGTTGTGGAGCATGGGCTCTAGGCATGCGGGCTTCAGTAGTTGCAGCATGCAGCCTTCAGTAGTTGTGGCTCGTGGGCTCGAGTGCAGGCTCAGGAGTTGTGGTGTGTGGGCTTAGTCGCTCCGTCGCATGTGGGATCTTCCCGGACCAGGGATCGAACCTGTGTCCCCTTCATTGGCAGGCGGATTCTTAACCACTGCGCCACCAGGGAAGTCCCAACAAATTTTAAAAAATAGAAATGATACAATGTCCACTCTCAGGCCACAGTTGAATTAAAACTGTGTGTGTGTGTGTGTGCTTATATATGCCTATGTTAGATGAAATGAATGACAGCAATGATACAAGGGATGGGAGGGAGGAACGAGGACTTTTTTTTAAATTTTAAGGTAACTGCACTACCTGTAAAGTGGTATAGTTTTGTTTGAAAGTGAATTTGGATTAACTCTAAGTGTATATTGCAAACTCTAGGGCAACCACAAAAAATGTTTGCAAAAGAAGTATAGCCAATATGCTAAGAAAGGAGAGAAAATGGAATCATATAAAATGCTCAGTTAAAACAACGAAAGGCAGGACTTCCCTGGTGGCCCAGTGGTTAAGACTCCGCGCTCCCACTACAGGGGACCCAGGTTCAATCCCTGGTCAGGGAACTAGATCCCACATGCTGCAACTAAAGATCCTGAATGCCGCAACTAAGACCTGGCACAGCCAAATAAATAAATATTAAAAAAAAAAAAAGTGGCTGACAAAAATAGGAACAAAGAACAAGGGCAACAAATAGAAAATACTAACAGAGCTGGTAGATATTAATCCAACTATATCAATAATCAGTTTGAATTTCAGTGGTCTGAATGCACCAATTAAAAGACAGAGATTGTCAGAGTGGATCAAAAAATAAGACCCAACTCTATGTTGTCTACAAGAAACCCACTTTAAATATAAAGATGCATATAGGTTAAAAGTAAATGGAAGGAGGAAAATATAGCATGCTAACACAAATAAAAAGAAAGTAGGAATAACTGTATTAATTTCAGACAGAGCAGACATGTACAGATCCAGCAAGCAAAAGATCAGTAAGGAC